TTCCTTGTTCCTATTGCCTGTTGCTTAGCATTCTGCAAAAGCCTTTAGGGCTGAATGTTCCAATTTCTTGATAAATTACCTAATGAGCCTTCTACAATAAGCCATTAGTCATAAGCCGCAAGCAAATTGATCAATCACAGTCGATTATTATTTTTGAAAATAATCGACTGTAGTTGGTCAATTTGCCTACGACTAAAGCCCGTATCAGACTATGGATTATGATTAAGATTGAATTGAAAATTGGCCAATCAGAAAAAGCTCACCAAACTCGAGCTTAGTGAATTTTGTTCTGATTGGCTAAACTTCAACTCAATCTCAATCCTAATCTAGTCTAATACGGGCTTAAAGCCGATTGTTCCAACTTCTTGATAAATTATTTGACAATTAAATCATGTGTCTGTGTCTCTGTCCAATTTGAAGAAAAAACGAAGACAGTCATATAATTTAATTATCAGGCAGCTTACCAAGAAGTTAGAACAATCGGCCTTAAGGCTAATATTACATGTATCGACGACAAATATTGTCGGATGTGTCGATTGGCTGATGGATAGAATTCTCCTAAAGTGCTTAACTTTTTTTCCAAGTATTCTAGAAATTCACTATCCAACACTCAAAAAGAGTTTGCCACTCTCTCCCTATGCTCTTTAATCTTCAGAAATGCACTATCAGAACAAAGTATTTTTATCCAACAAGCAATCCAGCACGAAAACAAGCATCGTGTGCCGCTGACTTGATGGAAGATTCAGATTCAATAGAAATGAAGAATTCTGAATTAGTGAATTCTCTAAAGGTTGTTCTACATTAGGGTTGCGTTCTTTTATTTGCAATAGATGTAGCTGAACGCATCTCGTGGATGCATCAAGATTGCACATTTTAAGGTTACTAGCTAGTAATGTACTGTCCCTAGAAAATAAATTATCTAATAGCGTGTTCGATTGACCCTGAGTTAATCGCTCCGAAAGCGATTAATGACGTCATAAGTCTCTACTAGTCAATCATAAAGCTTATA